AATGCAGAGCTATAGTGAATAGAAACAAGTGGGGTATTCCCGAGACTATTTTTGCTCAATATCTTTATACATTACTTACTGCTGTAAGGCAGTAGAAAAAGCATGATCTCTAGAGATGACCGTAGGTGCAGAATTCTGGTCAAGATTACAAACCATCCTCCCCAAAAGTTAGAGGGTATTTGGATCCAGATTTTGTTTCAGGCTGCTCTCCACTGATAACTAAATTCCTGTTGGTACCGAAACATGAACTGGAGATATATTTGAGAACACAGAATGGAAGGAAGATTTAAATATATTTGAGAAATGGATTAATGTGAAGTCTGTTGCAAGTGGAATTTAATGTTCCAAAATTTAAGCTCATGCATTGTGTACTTCAGAAGAAAATATAGGAGAATAAGTTATATCAAATGGTCCAGAGCTAGAGTGATCTAGTGAGGAAAAGGATTTAGGAACTGTAATAATTTGAAAGTTGGGGCACCATTTCTGGTAGCCACAATGAAAGGGAAAAGATTATTAGATTATAGAAATGGGAATAAATTGTAAAGCAAAGGATGTGATTCAACTATATAAAGCTATAACAAGGATATATTATGAATGGTATGCGCAGTTTTGGTCACCAAAGGATATCCATATTTTAGAAGATGTATGAAGGAAGACAACATCACTAATTTAGGATAAAGACGGAAAGTCCTATAAAGAACTGAATTAAGCCTATGCAGTCTGAAAAAAATGAAATTGTGTTGTGGTTTGGGAATGGGCAGGGACCAGGACTGTTGTGCCTCTATTCGTGCTGTTACTCCCACCCCTTCTCTGCATCTCCCCCCCCACACCCATGGGAGTGCTGTTCTCCCCCTATCTGAGCACCAAATGCCCCCCATCTCGCCACCATGTCTGAATACTGGACATCCCCATGTCCCTGCTGAACAGCAGAGAGCCCCTGAATCTGGGATCAGAGCCCCCTTTGACTGTCAGCACCTCCATCCCTGCCCTCCCATCAGAGCCAGGCATGGGGCTATGGAGGCAAATCACAACGTCAAGGGATCCATGACACAAGCCATTGGGGTTAGTGCCAAATCATGGTGTACCTAAAGAGGGCACGAAGACCTGTAGGAAAACAACTGTTAATAATGCACAATAAGCACCAAGTCACCATTCAGCTGGGCTCTCCACCCACTACCTTAGCCTCAGGGATAGAGTTGCCTCTTTACCTGTACCCCTCCACCTTACTCGGGATGGAAACAGCCCACGGATCTGCTAAGAGCAGAGTTTGACTCCAGAGTATACAGTTTTCAAATCCTGCTTCGCTTACCCAGCCCTCATAAGGATCTGCCATGATTGCAGTCCCTGTGCTCACGTGAGAACAGGGCATACCCCTTCCAAAGAGGGTGGAAAAGATGTGGGGCCATGTGGGCTGAACAAACCAAAGGGAAGTGGGAGGGACCATCCTTTTAGGTGCATGGCCCAAGTGTACACTAGGGTAGGATTATGCAACCTCCTGGGGCAATGCAGCTCTGCTCCACTCTGAACACAGAGACAAGCCTTAAATACATGACATAGTCCTTAAATTGCTGTTTTCTGATCAAGATGGAAAAAGTAGGCCCATGGGCCTTTCCATCCAAATTTCCGGAGATAATCTTACCCCAGGGTCCCAGCTGTTGCTAGCTTAGACTCTGGTAGGTAGATTTCGAGGCAAAAAGTCTACTGGGAGGAGGTTCTGGAGACTAAAAGTTGCCACAACTTATCTTATTCTGGGAGCACTGAAGTGAGCTAGCATGGTCCCAAAAGTGGGCAACACTAGCCAGTAATAAGTTGTGGTGACAGTAACCAGGGGACATGCCAATTCATGCCTTTACTCTCAGCAGCTTCCTCCAGCAAACTTATGTAGAGGCCATGGGGAGATTTTAAAATTGGTCCTATATAACAGGTTTCCCCCCAAGAGGGCAGCAGTAAAAAAGCCACCTCACTTCTCTGAGGTGCAGTCTCCTGTGAACCACAGAGGTCCATGCTGGCAAATAAACATGTAATTTTCACCTCCCTGCACCAGCTTTAATGAACCTACCCTTGTATGTTTGAGATGCTGAAAATACAATAATAATTATATACAAAAATAATGTATATCTATTTCATATTTGCCATTAAAATAGAAATATCAGGCAAGATTTTTTGCTACAGCTGAGCTTTACTTAGATGCACCGAGGTGGGAACCATTGGAGAGCCAGTTATGGCTCCCTAATCCTGAGCTGTTTGGCCCATGCTCAAGTTGAAGACCTGTGAGGTAGCTGTTCTGCTTTACACCACTGGTATAAGGCCCCTAGGCCAGTGGAGCGTCAGGTGGAGTGCTCTGTGCCATAACCCCACTCCCAGGATGTCACTTCTCTCCCCTGACATTGTGGGGGCAGCTGGCGAAGGAGATATCTATGCCAAAGGGGAAGCCTCCTTCTCAAGGATTTCTCTACTAGCTATCTCCAGCTGCTTTAAGTCCACTTTGCCCCACTGAGTGCAGTGCATAATAGACTTATGTGAACTGGAGAATCTGGCTCATGTAACTTTGAGGGGTAGTATTAATTAGCTTCTCTGATTTGGATTGTTTGGATTACATGTACTTCTTTGATATACATAGAAAATGGCTCCCTGAGATGTCTGAAAATAGGGTGGCAGCTGTGCATAAGTGTGTATTATACTTTGGGATTTGTCTACAATAGCTTATCCTAGCAGAAAATGTATACACAAAATTAAACCCACTGAGTGTATTTCCATTCTGCTGAATCAAAAGCTTTTTCTGCATCTGAAGATGCAATTGTATTGTCCAAATTTTCAGTATTTTGTTAAAATATTTTATAAGATCACTAAACTACATGGGGATTATTTGGGGGGCATAAATAAAGCTTGGTTTGCAAGCACTAGTTTTTCAAATGCTCACTGTAGTCTTGGCTGTCTCATCTTGTGAGAATTTTATTATCTGAATTTGAAGGCAATGGATTTCTGATTGTCTCAGAAAGAAGTGTTTCAGAAAGTACTAGCTTTCTGCAGACCAAAATATGCATGGCCTTTTGCACTATGGAGCTCCCACATAGCTATGCATGGTGGCAGACCAAAGACCAATAAACTGCTTGGTGGGGTGGGAGAACCCCAGTGTATTATATGGAGAGTTGTAAATAAAGTTTCTTCCTCCCATGTATTGCTACTCCCTGTTCTGGTGTCCTCAATCCCATTTCCTCACCCCAAGGTCATGCATTCATTCCATGTTAGTTGCTATATCTCCAGTCATCTGCTTGATTTAGTAATAAGGCCTTCACTTCCTTCATTGTTGGAGAAGCTTCACCAATTGGAAGTATCAGAGGGGTAGCCGTGTTAGTCTGAATCTGTAAAAAGCAACAGAGGGTCCTGTGGCACCTTTAAGACTAACAGAAGTATTGGGAGCATAAGCTTTCGTGGGTAAGAACCTCACTTCTTCAGGTGCCACAGGACCCTCTGTTGCTTTTTACCAATTGGAAGAGATCTCTATGCCCGCATCATCACCAAAGGGTAAACCATAAGGAAGCTATCACCTTGTTTGAACAAGATGACTTATTTAAACTTTTTCCTCAAATCATTTAGTGAGGGATAAACAGTCTCATGCTAAGACATAGAAAAAGGCATAGAATATGCTCAGTTCATCAACTGACATCGTTCTCATGAACCTGAGACTTAGGCAGTCACGTAAGGCCAAAGTCAAAATTACATACCTGCTTCTGAAGGGAAAATACTGTTGAAATGAGAAAGGATCTGTAGCTTAGGAAGCCATGTGGAATTAGATTTGGACTGACTAAATACCTTAAATTGTAATTTTTCCCTTTTTGCTAAACTTGTTAAATTCTCTGTATTTGTGCTGAAACTCAAGGCAGTAACCTACATGAAAGTTGGATTTGGCAGATGCATATTGCAAGTAACTTTCTAGTGGGCAATATTTAGCATCATGAATTTGATGTCTGTTAGGAATTTCAGCATAATGTCATAGTGACAAATAGTATTTTGAGGCTATCTTCTGAAAACTCTTTCAAAAGTTTTTTCTTCATATCTTCCTAAAAATTCAAGAATCCTTGTGCTAATTCTCCTACAACTGTTCTCTAAATTGGCGTGCTTATTTCAGTTCTCTCCTTTAATGCTTTCCCACTGTGATTCAAGTTTCCTCATATTTTTCTCAACTTAATCAACTGTTACTTTCCTCTTTAAATGCTAATATCCAGATGTTTATTGTTTGTCTCTTACAGCTGGTTCCTTTATTTCCATCTCTCATGGTGCTAAATTGGTTTTGCGGCGAGGAATTAGTTACAGATTAGTCTTCACCATTTTTGGATATCTTTGCCCCACTGTCCTCCACATGAGCTGAGGAAGATGGTGCCAGCCTTGTCTCTTTCTTTTCTCTTTCTTCAGTACCACTTCCGTACACCTCTGTACAGTCTAGTGATCTATTAAATGAAACATTGTGTTTTTATTATTTTTCTCATTCCTCAGAATAAATCTAGCTGAGCTGCATATTGCCAGCTTCACAAAATTCAAGTTAAGATAATATTGGATACTAAAGTTTAGTCTCTGTACAGCACATAAGAACCGCTCTTATCTACAACATCCCGTGATTCCACTGCATATATTTTTTGTTTGCTCAGAGGGCCTGATTTTCAGTCTAGCCTATACCAGGCCTTTTATTTAGTGCCCAATGTTTGCATGCACAAAAAGTATGATGAGTTTTCAAAATCTTGCCCAAAATGTTGTTTGTTATAGCAAAGATGGTAGTTCATGTTGAAGTTCAGATTAACTAAAACCTCTTTAACCAGTAATTTTGGTTGATTTTAAAATAAAAATGTTAATGTATAAGGGGTAAAGCAAATTATTGTCTTACTGTTTATTTTTTATAACCCATTGAATTACTTATTCTACTTATCCACAGTATGATTATATTCATTTTGAATTTAATTCTGGACTACATTAAGTTAAAGGTGGTGTCTTTCTCTCCTATGAAGTTTAGAAGAAATGGAAGAGAAATACCAAAACAGGGAATCAAGACCAGAAGATTTACAGCTTATTGCAGAGTTGAAAGACCTGATTGCAGAGAGGGACCAACTCATAAAGAAACTGATTGTAAGACTTTTTGTGCTCTTTCTGGTATTAATATATTAACAGATATAAATATTAGTCTAATTTCTTGAAAAACCTTGATTAAAATGGATTTAAGGCCTCAGTTCTGCTTACACTTATGCATATGCTTAACTTTATTGCAGTAGTCCCATTGACTTAACTGGAAATACAGTAGTAAAGTTAAGCACATGCCTAAAGGTTTGTAGGACCAAGCTTAATATTGTAAATATATATAAAAATGTAAATTGCAAAAAAAAAAATTCAAAATTACAATATTCTATTAAAATTACAATATTCTCTTAAAGAGTAAGTGCCTGAAAGCCAGAAAATTCAAAGTTAAGGTTACTTAAGTAGAATAAAACATATATGCATTGGAAAATATGGGAATACAGAATTAAGGAATCCCAAATAACTTTACTTCCACCTTTGTATCTGTACCATCCTGTAGGTGCCCTCAATGTAAGGTAGCTATATTCCCATGGCTAGATGGTATGTTGAAAAATGGACAGGAAGTCTGGTAACTGAGTGTATCTTAAACCCTGTATACACTGGTGTTTTGCCTGCATCTGTGGACATCTCAAACCATATTGACCTTGGCTTTTGCAAAAGAGTATGCAAATGATAACCGTAAGTAATACTAGGATTAAAAAATCTGCAGGCCCAGGAAGCTCAACCACTGAGGAAAATGAAATATTAAAATCATGTGAGAGTTTTCTGTTAGGAAGAGGGGAAGGGAGTTAAATATTATAGGTCTTGGGGTATATATGAAGTGTAACAATAATATTTTTCACTTGTATAGTGCCTTCCATCTGAGGATCTCAATGTACATGCTTTATAAACAACAAGTAAATTAGCTTTACAACACCTCTGTAAAGCAGGTAAGTACTATTATCTCCATTGTACAGCTAAAGAAATTGAGACACAGCAATTGAGACACGCTTAAAATCTAAGTCTCCCGACACTCAATTCTGTGCCTTAACCATAAGACCATTCATTATTCTTCTCTCCAGAGGCAAAATGTTGGTGTTGCTGTTTGTCAAGGGAAGGTGAACTAGACACTAGTCTCCAGTTGAGTAGGTAACACATATACAGTATAATGAATAGGTGGTGCATACATTCGTATGTTGAACATGTTACGGTGTGATAGGAATATGTGGTTCCAATTGTCATATGTAAACAGACTGTCTTATGATTTTGAGTGGATGATTAGCAGGGATATGAGGGCAGACTTAAGGTTGTTTGGAGTACCATAACTATATTTCCATACTTTCCAATATTTTCAGTAGGAAGAACTAAGTGTAACTGAATTTCCTGGCTTTCAGATATGTGTGTTTCTTAAAACTACAACATTACATTATGTTTCTTTCTCTGAAGTTATTCAGGGCTTAACAAACGTGTTCTGGAATTTCCTTTGATGTTGTGTCTTTTTCCTTCAAAGAATAGCTGAATGACACCACACTGTACGTTTTTAGGTTGGAAGATCATCACTAGCAGAACCAAAGCTTCAAAGCAATGGCTAGTTCTAAGATTACCACCTTTCAGCTAGCTAAACAACTGAGATAAATGCCACATCCATTTTGGGCTGGATCCATTGGACTGAGGAAAGAGAGATGTGGGTGGCAGAGGGAGGAATGTGAAAATGTAAGGTGTCTGAGCATGCTGAGTGATGTAGCGAAAGATATGGGTACCTTTGCTAATAAGACAGAGAATATTGGAAAGGGCAGGTGTTTTTCCGCTTTCCCCAATAACCTTTTATTGTGGAGCACTAGTTTCACTAACTCAGGTTTATTGAGACTTATGCTCTACTTGTTCCTTTCACATCTATGTGGCCTCTGCTGTTCTGCACACAGTAATAATGTGGTGGATGAGGAGAATTTCAGTTATGTTTCTTTTTGAAAAATCCACATACTAAATTCCCCGAAGCTCAGTTTTATTGACCTTGAAGATAGAGGAGTAAGCTAACCCTGCCCAGATTTGAACCTGTGACTCTAGGAAAATTAGATATTTCAAATCAGATGTTTAAATCACTAAGACAAATCCTTCATCAGAGCATGAATATTCCATTATAACTTCTCACATTTTGTTTCTAAACCTGTTCTCTTTCGGTGAAAAATACTACCAAACATCCACTCCCTTAATTCTTCCCATTCCATCTCAGTTTATGTATTCTTGAGTCTCCTAGTTTCCCACCCATTCCTGACTATGTAGAAAGCATCCCATAGAAGCAAAGTGAATTTCCTGTAGTAGTTTACTAGAGAAGGACTGGACTGGGAGTCAGGAGTCTTTGGTTCTAAACCAGCTTTTATAATTGCTTGCTATGTGACCTTGGACAGGTCTGTTAAACTTTCTGAATTCTGTAAAACGGATAATATATAGGAATGTTGTGAGACAGCTAAATAATGGGATTCTCCTGTCTGGCTGAGCTGCTTTTGGCACAATAGTGTGGCTGTAAATGGGGTTGGTCTGGTCTTCAGCATAATTGTGAGGTTCATCGTCTGGCCCATTGAAGTGCTATATACTGAACGTGCACAATATTGTTAAGATGAGAATAAAATATAGGAGTTTTTGGCTCCCAGTCTTGTAATGTGCTAAAAACCATATGACCTCAGGAGAGTTAAGGATACCATCACCATTTTCTTCAAGAAAATATTTGTACTGTACCAATGAATTTAGAGGAAGAGGAAGACATAAGTTGTCCTTGTGGTACTTATATTTTTAACACCAGACAGTTCTTTGCTGAACTTTACTAAGTTTGTCAGACTCTTGACAAATTTTACAAGGTTTAGTGGATCTTAAGTCTGCAGCAGCCTGATGGAATGTTTGATGCTCCTAATTCAGCAACGAATAGCTTAAAAAAATTAAAAAGCAGGTTTTTTTTAAATCATAGACATTCAAGAACTTGAAGAAACCAATTTGAAGTTTTTATGTCAAGCTACCTCTGAGATATTTCATGACAAAATAGCATTAAGTCCTAAATATAAGCCATATCTACTTTTCCCAACTTCCATATCTCAGAAATGGCTTGTCCAATTTACCTTACTTTTGGCACCAAAAAAAAAAAGAAAAAGGAAAAGTTCCTCTGGTCATAGACTATACATACAAGATTTAAATCGGACAGGACCTTACACAGGATTTTAGACAGGTGAGGATGGGGACAAATCAGCTTAATAAGGGGAAATTGGTTACAACCAAACAACTACTCTGAACCTTCACAGCTCAAAGTACTCGTTGCTGAATTAGGAACATCAGAATATTCTGTCAGGCTGCTATAGCCTTATTTGGGGAGTTGTAGACACTCAGCGTATCATAGGATTGGGGCCTCTCTCAGCAATTCCATAGGGATGATGTGTGCATTAGTTAAAAGTTCATACAACATTTTGAAAATGTAAAGCACTTGAAATTAGTGGCACTTGAGAAGGATCACTCCTCAGCCTTTTTACTGCAGCTTCACTGATGGGGACATCTTTGACCAAGGCCACACAGGAGGATAGTGGCAGAACAAAGATCAAGCATTGTGGGTCCCTGCCTATCCACAGTCCACTAAACCATGCTGTCTCTCAAGTGTAAAATGTACACAACAGAAACTCATTAATGTAAATTATTTAGTGTTTCTTTAATTGTATATAAGATCATACATAAATACATTTTAAATAATGGATTGATTGGAATATATAGGAATACAGGTTTAGAACTGAATGTGTTTGAAACAGTATTATATACATATCTTGCCATTAGCTAATGGAAAATGCATAAAGAGAAGTTTGTATTTCTTGTTCTTCTTTATTAGGATGACAAAAAATTCTATCAACTAGAACTAGTCAACAGAGAGACAAACTTCAACAAAGTGTTTAATGCAAGCCCTAATGTCGGAGTTATTAATCCACTGGTGAAGGTAGGCTTCACAGGCTTTATTGCTAAAATGGAAAAGAAATCTGTGTTAATACATAGTAGTAAAAAAAAAAAAAGAAAGAGAGAAACATGATAGTCTCTATATTTTGTCAGATGTGTTCAAAACACTGAATATAGTTCATTGCTAGCCTGTATTCTATTTATTATTATTTATTTGTATTATGGTAGTACTTAGGGACCCAAACTGAGATTGTGCTCCACTGTGCTGGCTACTGTGAAAACATAGCAAAAGATAGTCCCTGCCCTGAAAAGCTTAAAATCTAAATAGATAAGATAGACAACAGATATAGGGGGAAGGATTATAACATACAAGTAAAGTGAGCAGCAATGGTCTGAAAATGTCATGTTAGTTCCGGAGAGAGACAAGGTGGGTGAGGTAATATTTTTTATTGGACTATCTTCTGTTGGTGAGAGAGACAAGCTTTCAAGTTTACATAGAGCTTTTCTTCAGGTCTGGGAAACATCAGAGTGTGGCCACTAAATACAAGATCTGACACAAGTGGCTATTCACCCACGAAAGCTTATGCTCCAATACATCTGTTAGTCTTAAAGGTGCCACAGGACACTCTGTTGCTTTTTACAGATCCAGACTAACACGGCTATCCCTCTGATACTAAATACAAGATTGTTTAGCATAAGTAGTTAACCCATACTTCAGAGGACCATTCAAGGAGAAGTGGCTCGTTAACACCCCTCCAGTCATGGGGGTTGGGGGGAGAAAAGGGAGGAAAGGCAGCTGTGGATGGTTGTTAGTGGGTTATACATTGTTGTAATAAGCCAAAACACTGCATTCATGGAGTTAAATCAGTCTCTTACCTTAACTAACCTTTTTAAGGGTTCACATCAGATCATATAAGAACATTTCCCTGTCTCTCCCCCATATACCTTCTGTCAGTTACCTGGTCCCTCATATTTTGCAGGGCCCAGTAGCTCTGTAAAGCTCTTTTGTGAGCTAGGTCCCGCAGCACTGCTGCATTAAAATCGGTCTCACAGTAAACTCTGGAGTGCTCTGTGTGGGGAAAACTCAACATGTGAGAAATTTAAATAAAATGGTAACCTAGGCCTAAAAGAGACAATATCAGAACTGTGGACACCTAAACCAGATAAAGGTGAGGTCTCCACTTAAAGGAGCATGTAGAAATACGGACACTGCATGCCCAACTAACAGAGGTGCAAATAGCAAGATAGATGGTAAAGCATGGCTTAGGTGAGTAGAGTGCCCTACAAGGGCTCTCTACATGCCAATCTGTGCCTCCCACATCTACACTGCCATTTTTAGCAGCGTAGTGTTCCATTCCTGGAGCCTTTCCCCACTGTGTCCCTGTCAGAGCTTTTTTCTGTGATATGTAGCTTACAGGCACCCTACACACTGCCAGAAGATAAAGGCTTGGGAGTGTAGCTCCAAAAGTTTTGGAAGATTTTCTCAACTAATTGTCTTTAAACCTTTGAGGTTTAACTATGAATGTTAGCTGGTGTGGGGTTTTTTTGTTTTGGTTTGGGATTGTTGGTGTTTGTTTTTTGTTTGGTTGGTTTTGTTTTTTGTCATTTTGATTTATGAAGCACTTACGCAAACTTCTGCAGCCTCAGATCTTCAGACTGATCACTCACAAATATTTGGACATGTACTTCTATCAATTATACCTTTTAAGATCAGAGCCATAATCCATAAACCAGCCTTAAGAATTCAAAGATTTCTAGAACTTGGATTTTGTATAATTACTTAGCAATGTTTTAGATTTTAATTATCTTACATTATATTAGTTTTCTAGTTTAAATACAAACTTTATAAAACCATTTTCTTTAGCTCATCAGGAATAATTGTGACCTTATCCATTTTAAAAAAAAACCCACCATACTAAGCTATGCTGATGGCATACCAACAGTGTAGAGTGCTAGCACAGAAGATATCCATGGGTTAAGAAGCAACTTGGGAATTCATAACTAAGGGCCTGACCCAGTGTACATTGCAGTCAAGGGAAGGATGCCTACTGACTGGAGTAGAAATAGGATCAGGCCGTAAAATTTGCAGAAGTGATTTGTTGGAAGATGAGCCACGGGGAAAATATTTCGGGAGATGCTTGTTTCCTCTTGGCCAGACTAAACAGCAGCATTAAAACTTATTGAAACTGAACATACTGTAAATTCTACTTTTACTGGAATAGAGATGATGGAATAAATAATCAACAAAAAAGGAAGGTCAGACTGAGGGAGACAACCTAAAATGAAGGGGGGAAATAACAGCTAATATTGTATTAATAAAATATAGCTGTGGTCAGTCAAAATAGCAACATGAAGATTCAAGTGGCATTAGTTTGTTTTTCTTCTGTCTCATGCATCTTTATTTTACTTATTCATGTGTTTCTCTTCATAATAATAACCAAATGATCAAGATCTGGGAAGTGCTACATTCAGCATAGTGGAGATAACATTGTGAAAGTATTTATGTATTTAGTTTTGACGGCATTTTAAGTTTTAATTAAATAAATTAGTATGTAATGGAAATCCCACATTCCCAGTACTGCTAGATATATTTTTCCCACTTTTCTTGAAGCTACTTTACACTAGATGTGAAAAAAATTCTTTCATTTCCCCTCCTCAAAATCTAACCTCCTTCCCCCACTCCAATATTTTTCTGTGGCAGTTTTTGTTTCATCAACCTTCTATTATAAAATGACTGGATTCAGTACGGTTAATTATCAGAGGGGTAGCCGTGTTAGTCTGGATCTGTAAAAGCAGCAAAGATGAGGTGTTACCTCAACTGATAGAAGAGGGCCTCATCCTCCCTGATTGAACTAACCTCGTTATCTCTAGCATGACTCACTCTTGCTTGCATATTTATACCTGCCTCTGGAAATTTCCACTACATGCATCCGAAGAAGCGGGTATTCACCCACGAAAGCTCATGCTCCTATAAGTCTGTTAGTCTTTAAGGTGCCACCAGACTCCTTGTTGTTTTTGTAGATAGACTAACACAGCTACCCCCTGATCCTATCCCACTATACAGCAGCTGTTCTAGTGTGAACTAGGTGAGTGTGCTGTCCATTTGCACCTGTAGACATTGACATATGTTGATAGGAACAGGGGCAGAAAAAAAGCCCAACATATAAGGATGAAAAACCTGAGCATTTTCCATCAACTGTAGTGTAAGAGCTTCAGTGGGCAAAAATCCAAAGAGTTTTCAGTGGGTGATGTCAGTGAGAGAGAACAGCAGACCTTGGGTAGTTAAAGACCAACACCTCAATTAGTAACGACTTTGTCTCCCCTTGCCAAAATATTTTGGCCTCTCTTGCTCTGAGAGCATTGGATTTTTGTTTGTTTGTTTTTTAAGTACATGTTACTAGAGAACAGTTTTAGAGGGAAAAGGAGACTCTTAGGTCAGGAATTGTAAATAGGTCTCTGGGCTTTGAACATTGAGGCATGATTAGGTAGAACCACTGCAGCACAATTGACAGCTTCTTAAATGTATGCCGTAGATCTCTGTAGTACTCTATGGTCACGTTAGCTGGGATTCTATAGTGTTTTGAGTGAATTTAATGAAAGTTGCAAATGTCACTTTGTATCTCTAGAATGCACTGTTTGCAAAATTCCAGAAACCTAGTTTATTATATGTATTTTACAAGGGAAACTATTTTACTTTTCCTGAGCACTTGGATGTAGGGAATATACTCAGGGAAATTTAAAGATAATACATAAGAAAAAGCTGCCAGAAAAAAAATGACCCATGAAGCACAAAGCTTTAATACAATATAATTTCTTTTGTACCACTACTGAAATACTTTACAGACAAATCCCTGATACTTTCACTAATCTGTTTTATCACACACATAGTGTTTTCTTGGTTTTTTCAGCAGAGACTGCCTGAGGAGGTAAAGCGGGACAGTCTTAATTTAATCCTTCTCAACAGAAGACCTTTCCCCCTTATACTTAAAAAGGGACTTTACTGTTCCCTCTATCAAGACTGTGGTTTATACTGACCTTTATTCAAGTGGGAGGGGGAGAGAAACGCTGAGAGTAACCCCCTTTGGAACATATTGGCTCAGTGTGGTTGTTTCAGGCTGATCTATGGAGGTGTTTTCTCTGAACATTGAATGTGCTGCATTAGCAGCACCTGCAGCTGCCAACCAGGTAAGAGGCCAGAATTCAAACCTAGGTCTCTCATCTGACAGTACAGGACACTATCAATAGGGCAATGTGGGCATCTACAATTCAACTCTTTTCCATACCTGAACTCATCGTTCCTTTATTTCAAATGCAGTTCTGCTCTGAAGAGTATGTTACAATTTTATGACAGAGTTACAGGTGCATTTGTCTTTCAGGGACGCCATATCAAATGTGCACACTTTACAAGTAACCAGACTTTTTTTTAAGTGCTTTAGGTGGGGTTCTATATATAGATAGATAGATAGATAGTATTCGTGAGAAAAAATGAACTCAGTTTCAATTTGAAATCAAGTGGAGTATATTTTTAATGATAACCTTTTTACTATGTAAATAGGAAGTACATGATCCAGAAGTAATGAAGAGATATTTAATGTGGTATGCCTCATTAGGCCATTTTGCTGTAAAAACTTTTGAGATTTGAACCTTCCATATATTTATAAGTTCTAGAGAATCAGCGAGTAGGAGATAAAGCTAGTACTGGCATGGCAGATAGTAGATAATCATTCATTTTACATGGTAATAAGTTACTGATACTAAAAAATCAATATTACAATAACTCTCATCTATCTCTTTGAGTCACTTGAAGTACTGTCAGCTGAAGTTGAAAGATACTTCAAACTGAAAAGTTGATTTAGTTGTGCCATCTAGTGGCTAGAAATATTCTACTTAGAGCTAAAAGGTTGTGCTTTTTTCTCTTTCTGGCAAGGAACTGAAATACAGTATAGGATCAGTTATATCCTTCATAATAATGTAATAACACCCATTGATTTGGGGGTCATCAGTGCTTTAATAAAAGAATGTACCTTAATTGCAGATTTTCTAAGTTTCTGGTCAAAGACAAAAGCTAATTGTTTACCAAACTATACTTAAATGGCAAAGTGAAACTTATTGAACAGATTTATCTTTCCCTCCAATGAATTTGCTGTATTGCATTTGATAGCACAACTATTTCACTAATCCAGAGAATGTGTTTAAGTAGAAATGAAGGATAGCAGACTGAAGTATAATTTTGTAGAGAACTAGCTACCTCCCCATCTCCTTTCAATAAAATATCTTATTCTGTACATTCAATCCATCAGAATAATATACATATTGACTGCTGAGCTAGGCCTGAATTCCTTAGTAAATTTGCTTAAATATTTAATTTTCCTTTGAGAATTTATGGTATTCAGCATTGTTCAAGGAATACAATAGAGGTGCAATTATAGAAACTATTCCACTTCCCTCCAAAACTTGCTTCCCATCCAAAAAAAATAAAATAAAGAAAAAAGCTATAAAGGAACCTTCTTATCTACCAATCTCCTCATCTGTCCTGGTGCAAGGAGCCTTCCTTACATTTGTTGTTTTTAATGCAGCAAAAGAAGAAGAATGATAAATCAACAAACAGGTTTGTGAGTGTTCCCAATCTAAGTGCTCTGGAATCTAGCGGAGTGGGCAATGGACATCCTAACCGCCTGGATCCCATTCCTAATTCACCCATCCACGATATTGAGTTCAACAGCAGCAAACCACTTCCACAGCCAATACCACCCAAAGAGCCCAAGACGTTTTTGAGGTGAGCACTGACTCACCAGTCCTTTTTTTCTTAACTCATAGAAATTTTGCATTCCTATTTAGATGAAAATCCCACTTGCTTTATTAACACTTTGAGTACAAATATTACTGTGGAATTTTTACGCTCTGTTTGTAACCTCTTTACAGTATTCCTTTTTATTGTAGAGCCGGTTGAAATGTGAAATATTTTTTGACCTTTTTATAAGTCTTGAACCCTCAACTTTTAAAACCTTTTAATATTTCTTAATATGATTCATGTGCTTCCAATTGTTTACATTTTATGAACAATTGTTTTAAATGTTTGTGTGATTTACTAGTTGTCCTTTGGGAACTGTTTTTAAAACATAGGGATTTTTTTATTCATTTTTGTGTGATGACTTTTATATGACAAAATTGTTTTCTGTGGTACGTTGATTTTTTTTTTTTTGGTCCTTTTCCTCATTTCTGTCAATTTTTTTCATAAACATTAGTTTAGTACAGAAATAGGAAATATGCATGGTTGGGTGTTTTAATGCTGCTTTTCCAGAAATAGAAATTAGCATTAAAATCTCCAGGATTCGTTCTTTGAAAGGGATGGTAGAGTGAATTACACTATTAATTTAACAAATGAATTAAGAGGGAAGACTCAGGTCTTTAGGCTTTAGGTGCTTGGATCCTGAGTGCACTGCAGAAGTGGTGTTCTCTATCTGTAGAATTGCTTGCTATCCTATTCCTACAACACATTTTATTTCCAAATCAAAGCAATGGCATAAGTGTCAGTTGGACAAGCAGTTGTTTCCCTTCCCTTATGATTTACATGGGTAAATCTGACACAATTCTGACAAGTGTTAAAAGTAGAAGTGGGAAATTATAGAATTAAAAATAAATAAGTAGTAACATTCTGTTTTAAGAAAATATACTTTTGTTAAATACATTGTGTTGCTTATTTTTCCCTGTGCATGTGATATGCATGCGTCTTCTCAGACGTCAGTAACATGCATGTGCATGAATTCATGGATTGTGATGCTGGAGTTTCCATTGCAAATTGTTTCGTGCCTTGTATTACCCCAGTAAAACGGTAGGATTATTTTGTTCTTAATTTTTGTTGTCCAAAGAATTTTGATCTAGCATTAAAATTACATACATTTTTCTTGTTAATAATTCTACTGAATTAGCATGTTTTAGGGGGGGGAAACTTGTTTGCCATGCACCAATTTCCTTGTTCCTAGTATATAATTAATGTCTTTTAAATTGTGTGCATGAAATGATACAAATAATATTTCGGTTTGATTTATGTAAAATATTAAAATAGTATGTATTTTTGTTTAGTTACTGACTAGTCTTTGTTAAGCACATGTCTTTAAGAATGTGATGCTTGCATCATACTTCTGAAAACTATCTTTCCTAGAAGAAAAGGATGCTAAAAGAGGACCCTCCAAAGTTTCCCCCCCCAACAAAAAATTTTTATCCAAAAAAAGTTAACTTTATGATTTTAATTAATATTATCTCCAAATATTTTTCCACCTTACGATGTGGCTTCTTAATTTGTCTGTGCTGCTGATGCTCTCCAATGGAGTGGATGATCACAGATATTGCAAAGGGACATTCAACTAGACTATATACTACAGTATGTGATATTTGATTTATGAAAAGATATTTGGATCATTTGTGTTGCGTATTGTATTCTCTGTGCCTTTTCCAGACGTTTTGCACTCTTTATTTTGGTGTTGGGTTAAATTTTTTTTTCTTTTTATGAATTTAGCCCTCCTCAGACTGAAGCTTCACCAGATCCACAACGCCAGGAATGGTTTGCCCGATACTTCACATTCTGAGAGAGAATTTTTTTTTGTGGCATAGCGTGGTGTGGATTGTTTAGAAGAGCATGTCTTTAAGTAAACCCTATGTGAACAAGCTTTCCTGTACTATGTCAAACACTGTGAATGAGAAAGTATTTGTCTCTCTGATTTGAAAATGCACTGTATTTCATGTGGTATTTGTTGGAATCACTTGACATGATACTATATAATGTGCGTAATTATATCAATTATTTTTATTTAAAATGGAAGAGTCTTTAAACTTTGTAATTATTACATAATAAATTTTGGTAGAACAAACATAAGGCTTTCCCCATTTTTCCTATAAATACATTTTCTTTGGTTGCAGGAAGGCTCCCCCTCCTCCCAAAGCAATGTACTGCATGGTTATAATAAATCAAAATAATCTTTCAATGATAAATAAAATAAAATAAAAAATATCAGACTAGGGCAAGGTATGTTTAATCCATCCCAAATTTATTTTGTAGCACTTTAAAAATTGTCCTCTTACTAACATTTAAAGTGGTGAATATGAAATAAATCAGACATAGTTTAACTTCTGGCCTTCAGAACTGAGTGACTTTGACAAGACCATAAAAAAACTTAGCGTTTTCTTTTTTGCTAACTTCTTACCTACTGCTAATTAGACTCTGCACTCTAGAAATAACTACTACATTTGACGTTGAGTTTCACCAGAACCTGCCTTCATGAATTACCTGTTTATTTTATGAATATCTACAAAGGCAAATGATCTTTGGAACATTTGGGATACTAAACTAAGAATCATTAAAGGAAATCTGCATTTTGAGGACATCCTCCTTCAGGCAGAATATAGGCTTTAAAAGTAACCCTATACACACAATTGTATGCAAATATTTTATTAAAGGCATAATGCCTAGCTGTCTAACATAAAATTCCAACCTAACTTTATTAAAGCTCAACCGTATCCAATTGTCTACATGAAGGAAATTTCTTTTTTACCTTTTGACATGAATCCATGGACTACTTGGCTTTTTCAGGTAGTAAGCCTGATTCTCTAGTCCGTTATACTGGTGTGACACCAGTGTTACTTCATTGCCAGACAACTCCTATAACAGACTGGAGAATCCAGCCTACTGTCTTTGAATTATCAAAAAATATAAATAATAAAGATTATCACAAAATAATTAACACTGGTAGTCTCAGGGAGAAAAATACCTTTGTTTTATGAATGTATTTTAAATCTGAAACTCTCTTTAAAAACAGCAAGGGACTATTTTGATTTATTATTTAAATAAGGTTTTAATCAGCACATACAAAAGCACATAGATCTTCATTATTTCTTCTGAAGCCCTGACTATATCCTATTTCCCTTTATATACAAACAAATATCTAGTAAAAGATGCTCTTGCTAATTATAATACGTTTTATATGTAGTATATATATAAATGAACAATTTGTATGTTTTCATATAAAATATTCTAAATGAAATTTTTGAAAACATCTCTTCTATAACTCACCTTGAAAATTTCATGCTGCCATAGTGTAAAGTAAACAGCAGATTCTGTGTAGTTGGTGGACTCAACTGTAAGTATATGCAACTTTTTAATTTTAAAAGAAAGCCATATTGGGCCAAAATGTTAGATTTCTTGGCTGTTACCTGAAATAAAACACACTAGATCATTTTGCTATAACATTCTGAAGTGAGTGTTGTATTTTTTCTTCTCTGCCTTGCCAGTGTTGTTAAAAGGACACTGCTTCTTTGCCAACCCAGTACCTCATTGATTAGAGCGTTAAGTTGCATAATCATACATTTTTGCTTATGGAATTTATAGATATAAACTATAAATAAAACCAACTAAACTCCACTTCAGATTTTTCCTGTTCATGCATTTTTTGCTCTCTTTAGTAAATGGTGTATTGGTTGCCTCTGCCATTGGGCATCAGCTTTCCAGTGGTGAGGAGAACAAACTCAAGAAACCATCAGTTCCAGAGTCCTTTAAGGTCAGCAGATTTCCAACTGACAAACAAGTGTGTCCTGACAAAACCTGTCAAATCCCAAAGAACCCAGGAAGACTGAAAAGTTTCTGCTAAATGGTATCCAGAATGCTTGATGCAAACTTTATTCCACATTATTTTGACTGTCAAGCTTGCATGTTAGATTCACATAGGAACCTGCATTACCAGATTAGATCATTGTTCCATCTAGACTTCTGTCCTACTTCTTTTAGTTTGTGATGCTTTAGAGAGAGAGAGAGAGAAAAATCCTTAATGCTGCTGGCTAAGAGCCTAGTCCTGCAAACCCTTTCTCTCGCATGTAGTCTTTCCTCACATAGCCTTCTCATCCTCATATTAGTTCCATGGGAATACTCTTACGAGGGTAAATTCCTTCTTAGCTCCCATGAGTGACATTTTAGGATTCTGATGCGTGAGATTAGTTTATCTATATCCTTGTAGCTTGTCCAAATATAAATGTTGTTAATGGTAATACAATTGACTATCCCTTTTGTTGTTACATAACAACCCCAAACTTTCTTGAAAAAATTGTATCAACATTAAATATTCAAATAAATTAACAAGTAGTAAAGTACATAGGCAAACTCAGAGACACTTTAACACTTATATGCTTGGTCAAAAGCATAGCAAAACTATGGTTTAGTCAATATTACACTTCTCCAGAGAGAGTGGCATGATAAGGGAATAAAGTTCAGTGATGAACTGAATTGGACATAAATGTGTAAAATGTAAAAAAAATTTGCAAAATGTAAAAAAAAATCCCATGAACGATCATAAGGTTGTCTTAAAATTCAGCCACAGGGCCACATTCTCTTCTTCAAGCTGGACACTTTTTTCACTCTTGTGGTACAAAAGGGCTAGAAAACTGGTGGATATCCCCAGTTGGCAGAAAACTATTGTGGCTCAGTCTTCCACCAGCCCCCTTGTAACCTCCCAGCAGAGGGGACATGGGCGTGTGGGTCGCGGCAGCTCTGGTCAGCAGTGCTGACCGGGCCGTTAAAAGTCCCGTCAGCGGTGTTGCCTGGCTAACGCAGGTTAGTCCCTACCTGTTCTGACACTGCGCTGCGCCCCAGAAGCGGCCAGCAGCCGGTCTGGCTCCTAGGTGGGGGAGGGCAGCAGCATGGGGCTCCGTGCGCTGCCCCCATCAAAGCACCGGCTCTGCACTCCCATTGACCGGGAACCTGCACCCTAAACCCCTCACCCCCAGCCCAGAGCCTGCACCCCCAGCCCAGAGCCCTGATCCCCTCCCCCCCAACCCCCTGCACCAGCCCTACCCCCCCCAACCCAGCCCTACCCCCCCCAGCACTCCAAGTCCCTCATCCCTGGCCCCACCCCAGAGCCCTGACCCTTATCCCGCTCTCCAACCCCCTGCCCCAGCCCAGAGCCCCCTCCCACACCTTGAACCCCTCACTCCAACCCTCTGCCCCTGCTCTGAGCCCCTCCCACACCCCAAATCCTTCATCCCCAGCTCCGTTGGGTCGTGGGCATCAACAATTTTCTTCAACTGGATTGCCAGAAAAAAAGTTTGAATACCACTGCTCTATTCTCCCCCTGGGCGCCATAGCCAGCTAGTGTACTTTAAAATATCCCCAAGGCCATTCAAATTATGCTGGGCCCAGGGTTGGCACAGAACAAGCCCTGGGATTAACTGACTCCTTTCCCCCACATCCTTTAAGCTGCCCTTAGCAGATATTGGACATAGCTGAGAATTTGTCCACAGTTCAGTATTTGCTTTGGTGACTTGTAGTGATAACAGATTCCACAAGTTGATTATATATGCTGTATAAAGAAATATTTTTGTGTTCTATATTTACTGATTTAATTTGTTCTTTTATCCCTCATGTTCTGTTATTATGGGACAAATAGCTTAAACAGATCAGTTTTCACTATTTTCTTCATTTATATGATTATTTTCACATTCATTTACAAGTATAAATAAACCTTAATTTTGAGGAAATCTTGGGACACCCAAAACATAAAATCAGGAACATGTAAAAGCTGAAGAAAGTATACAAAAGCATTTTTACATTCACATTTTTTAAGATCAGTGTTTACTTGTTCATCAGTTAAATCCTATTTAACTCTGCTTTCCAAGGTAAATAATGCTAGTCTTAGTTTCTCATTTTATATAAACTTCTAGCCATCTTTGTTTCCATTCTTAAGGGATGATATAATTTTCTTCATTGTTAGGTTGGAATTTTATGTTAGACAGCTAGGCATTATGCCTTTTGTCATGTGCTGACCATTATTTCCTGCATTTTGAGGTTAGAGCAACAGCTGGGTGAAGTTTTTTGAGAAAAATAGCTTATTCACTAAAAAATACGGTTTACGGTCAACTGAAACTATTTGCAAATTTGACAGACATTTAATTAATAGTATCAGCCAAAAATAGTTTTTAGGGCTAGATTTTCTCTTACCTGCCATTCATAGAAGAACTAGTGCTGGTGCCATTGAAGGCCCCACCCCGTTGTTAGAGCACTCACTTGGTACGTGGGAAACCTAGATTCAAGCCCCCAGCCCCATTCAGAGCAGGGAGTTGAACATGGATCTCTCAAATCCACTAACCACTGGGTTATAGGCTATTCTGGGGTGAGTCTAAAACTTTCCTGTTGAATCTGTTCTACTTTGTATTAAATAATTAGTGATTGGCCCAGAGAGAGAGAATGATGCCATAGCCTGCTGCTGAAGGGACTCTCATGGATTCTAGTCCCTGCTGCAATTAATGCTTATTTATATAAAGTCAAACAGCTTCAACAGGAGAGTCTGAGACAACTGCACCCCAGAATATTTTATGGTCCAGTGGTTGGGGCACTTTCCTGGAATGGGGGAGACCCAACTTCTAAGTCAAGCAGAGAAGAGATTTGAACCCAGTTCCCTGACATCCCAGGTGAGTGCTTTAACACTGGGGCTATAGTGTATAATCAACTTGTCTGCCTGCTCTAGTTTTGTGAATGCTGTTTCCAAATTTTCTTTTCTTTTAATGTTAAAAAAAACCAGTAAAATAATGGCAGAAGACTAAATGTTTCATTTTGAGTTGATCCAAAAACCTTTTTTTTTTTTTTTTTGATTTTTTTCGTTGAGAAAAATTTATTATCCACACAGATGCCAGGGGTCTGTTTTGATGGTTTACACTTGAAGACTGATTGAACCAAAAAGTGCTCCCAGAGTCCTCAAAGGAAGTTTTGGTTCATCTAACTGACGACTCTAGGATTTTGACTTACAGGGTGTACTGCAAAGCTCATTTGTTCACCGAGGCAACTGAAGAGATGGGAGCTTGATGGGATAATTGTTGATGGGGGATGCAG